TTTTTTTAGCACTGATCACTGTATTGGTGTCACAGGGGATGTCAGTGACACCAAGTCAGTTCCCTCCAGTGTTAGACCGTCCACTGCAGTCCTGCTATAAGTCGCTGATCACCGCCATTACTATTAATGAAAGAAGAAAAAAATCCCAGTATCTATACCGCCATTTGTAAACGCTATATTTTGTCATGCAAACCAATTAATTTACACGTATTGGGATTTTTTATTTTTTTTTTTAGCATAGACAAGTAGCAGAATACATTTTCGCTTAAATATGACGAAATTTGATTTTTCACTGGACATGTTTAATAGCAAAAAGTCAAAAATATAGTTCTCAAAATTGGTCTTTTTTTTATATCGCAAAAAATAGAAGACACAGGCGATCAAATACCACCGAAAGCTCAACTTTTTGAGAAAAAAAAAAAAAAAAAGACGTAAATATCATTTGGGTGCAGCATTACATGACCACGCAATTATCAATTAAAGTAACGCAGCGTCGGAACGCAAAAAATGGCCTGGTCAGGAAAGGGGGTAAATCCTATGGAGGGCAAGTGGTTAAAGTATTACTAAACCCACAACAGTAAAATCAGTCTGTATATGCAGTAAAGCATGTTTGGTATACTCACTGTGGAACCTAAGGGGTTAATCCTCTGCATTGTGTAAAGAGGCTGTTTGATCCTGTCTTCTCTGATCTTCCCTTCTTCCACAGTCCTCAATCCATCTGCTGATAGTACAGAGCTCTAAGAGTCACTCTGCATATACTAAGTTTGGAGTGTATTGCTAAAGTGTATGGGTGAACCAACACCGGTATCTGTGCCAATACTGAATATTTTCAAAAGGACTCGTGAAAATTCTCCCAAAAGCCGAAATCGATACTTTGCATCAACGGACGCAAATTGCACCACAAAAAATAGCAAGCGATTTGAACAGGAATGCAGCATGATTCCTGTCCAAATTGCATGCGGTTTCCCAACTGCTCCTGTGTGAACACAGGCTTGCCATACCAAGTTCATACAGGAGCACTGCAGGAAACCTCCCTGCATGGATCCCACGCTGAGTGGGCATGTGTACGTCCTGGCAGATGCTTCACATTATCAGCTGTAGGAGAGGAGAGAAAGCGGCAGGGATCTGAAACCCCCATGGCTCTCTCTCCTCTTGTTGCAGGATTGACAGTTTTAGCTAGCGGGCTTTTGATTGGTTAGCACCGTCACATGGACAGTGCTGACCAATCAGAAGCCGTCTAGCCCATACTGTCATCCCTGCAAGGGAAGGAGAGAAAGCGACATCACAGGTCTGGGTATTTGAAATCCTTCTACTTGCTCTCCTTTTCTTGCAGGGACGACAGTACAGCCTAGACAGCTTCTGATTGGTCAGCACTATCCATGTGACTGTACTGACCAATCAAAAGCTCTATATAGTTCAAACTACAGCAGAGAATACGGAGCATCTGCCACCAGGTATAAATCCCCACACACCCTGCTCTCCAACTCTCCACTGCGGGAAGCCTCCCTGCACAGCTCCTGTGTGAACTCAGGCTATGACAAACCTGGGTTCACACAGGAGCAGTGGGGAAGCAGCATGCGATTTGGAGAGGAATCACATTCCTGTTCAACTCGTATGCGATTCTTTGCAGAGCAATTTGCGTCTATACATTTTGCATTGATGCAAATCAAACCGCAAAGTATCGGTACTCGTACTTGCCGATCAAAAAAGGGCATGGTTGCATCTACTAGAGGGTTTTTTTTCTCTGGGAGGGTGCATGTGATCAGCAAAGGACCAATCAGCACTGTCGAGACAGAGGGTCCGGGGTCATGCAGCCTCATAGATCAGAGGACAATGAAAACGCAACAAGCTTTAACCAGTACTCTCGGCTGGACACTGATAGAAGTCACATAAGATTGATCTAACTGCTGATGAAAAAAGGTATTTAGCAGTATAATATTTACTAAAATAATTGCATTTCCATGTTCTGTGTACTGTGGGAGTCCAGATATAGTGAATGCAGGTTCCTGGGTTTAGTAACGCTTTAAGCAGGTATCACACCTGTTCCCTCACCCACAACCAAAACACACTGCTCTTTACAGGAACATGTGGCTGCCATTCATGCTTAATGGAACCCCCCCCCCCCCCCCCCATTTAAAAATACACCTTATTTGCAGGTACCACCAATAATTTGCATAGTACAAAAGCACCATGTAATTTCCCTGCCTCTGCATTAAAATATTATGCAGGAACATTTTTCCAGCAAGAAACGCAAGCACAGCAGCCCATTCAAATGGGTGGGTTGCCGTGCCCACGCAAGCACAGCTCGTAGGCTGCAAAACTGAACCTAGCCTAGAAGTGTATGCTTCCTCTAATTTTTTTTTCCCCCACGTATTCACATTTGTGTATTTTATATATCACATTTTCATGTACTTCATCTGGTACCTGGTTGATCCTGCCATTCACCTTTCTTCCTTGTTCTGGGCAACCTTTTTTTTTCAACTGAGCCAAATCTCGCCAAAACCATGAATTGAAATTTTTTTTGAGAGCCACATTTTTAAAAACTGAAAATACATCTCCCATATAGTAATTCATCCCCCATAGTAATTCATCCCCCATATAGTAATTCACCCCCCATAGTGTAATTCATCCCCCATGTGTAATTCATCCCCCATAGTGTAATTCATCCCCCATATAGTAATTCATCCCCCATATAGTAATTCATGCCCCCCCATAGTAATTCATCCCCCATATAGTAATTCATCCCCCATATAGCAATTCATCCCCCATAGCAATTCATCCCCCGTATAGTATTTCATGGTATAGTATTTCATCCCCCGTATAGTATTTTCCCCCGTATAGTATTTCATCCCTCATATAGTATTTCATCCCCATATAGTATTTCATCCCTCATATAGTATTTCATCCCCCATATAGTATTTCATCCCTCATATAGTATTTCATCCCCCCATATAGTATTTCATCCCCCCATATAGTATTTCATCCCCCCATATAGTATTTCATCCCCCCATATAGTATTTCATCCCCCATATAGTATTTCATCCCCCCATATAGTATTTCATATTATAGTATTTCATCCCTCATATAGTATTTCATCCCCCCATATAGTATGTCATCCCCCCATATAGTATGCCATCCCCCCATATAGTATTTCATCCCCCATATAGTATTTCATCCCCCCATATAGTATTTCATCCCCCCATATAGTATTTCATCCCTCATATAGTAATTCATCCCTCATATAGTATTTCATCCCTCATATAGTATTTCATCCCCCCATATAGTATTTTCATCCCTCATATAGTATTTCATCCCTCATATAGTAATTCATCCCTCATATAGTAATTCATCCCTCATATAGTAATTCATCCCTCATATAGTATTTCATCCCCCCATATAGTATTTCATCCCCCCATATAGTAATTCATCCCTCAAAGTAATTCATCCCTGCCATAAAGTAATTCATCCCTCATAAAGTAATTCATCCCTCATAAAGTAATTCATCCCTCATATAGTATTTCATCCCCCCATATAGTTTTTCATCCCTCATATAGTAATTCACGAGACATCATATAGTATTTCACCCCCCCATATAGTAATTCATCCCTCATAAAGTAATTCATCCCCCACAGTACTATCCCCCCCCCCCCCCCCCTTCTAGTAAGCCAAGTCCCCCGTGTCAATTCACTTACCTTTTGCGTTCCTCTCGCTGTCTTCCCGCGCCGTTCGGGTCTTCAGGGCGGACTGTGAGAGGAGCCTAGCTCCCCTCCCCTCACGTTCCACGCTGCCCCCCCTACACACATCCTGACAGCCACATCCGCGGGCCGAAATTAAAAGGTCCGCGCGGACTTTTGGGGCTGCCAACCGAGAGGAGGCAGGGGAGCGGCCCGACCGAGAGGAGGGAGGGGAGCAGGCGCCCGGCACACAGAAGAGCCGCATTAGAGTGGGTAAAGAGCCGCATGTGGCTCGCGAGCCGCGGCTTGCCGACCACTGTTCTAAACTAACCACAGAAGCTGATTTTTTTTTGGTCAGTTTTAAACTTTGGCTGGCCATTCAGATGTATAGAACACAGTGCATACACAGCATGCTTGTATTGGGCAGTTGGTTCAGCCACCAAGCCCCTGACTAGTCACAGCCTACCTCTGGCACACACCCCTTCTGATCACAGCCTGCTATTCTTAACCAGTTGCCACCCTGCCTATGGTCAAATGGCGGCCGGGTGAACACACAGCCGGGTGCCCACACTAAAGATGCCGGCCTCCTGGAATACAGGATGGCTGGTGAAACGGACTATGGGGGACACACCACGGGACAGGTAAGTGGCTCTTTTTTTTAAAAAGTCAGCAACTACAGTTTTTGGAGCTGCTGACTTATTTTTTGACAGCGTGAGTGTTACTCCGCTTTAAAGGACCGCTTACTAGGGAAAAAAAAATCCCATTGAAATGAATGGAGAATGCATAAAAAAACATTCACGGTTGCCTTTGTGGAGTCACGTCCTTTTCTCCATGCACTGGAAAACAGCAAAAACGCATACGCTTCTGTACCACGTTTTTGCAGCGGTGTTGAAGCGACCTAAACAGTGGTCAGAGGTGCAGCAACATCTAACATTTTCTGATGGTTACCAGGAAAAGAAACCAATGCATTTCCCTCCTTCACCTCAAGTAGGAGAAGACCAAAACAGTATTGTACACACACGAGCAGGCTTCCCTTCAGCCTAACATTAACCTACACAAGCCAAGGCCTGTAAACGTGCGGTGATGGGCGGAGAGGTGAACCCGCACCCCCGGTATGCACACCATGTGCTGGGATCACACGGCCCATACAAAGGCGTCTACAGCCCGTGAAGCCAAGAGGAATGATGCATGACTATCACACACCACCTATAGAGGGCGATGTGTCTCCGGGGGTGGGGGGAGGTTCCCCGCTATTCCGCTCACACGGTAATATCTCAGCGTGGTGCAAAGCACGCTGTGCCGACGCCAGCCTCGCCCACCACTCACCTGATATCGTCCGCTACATTCCGTACGAAGAGAGACGTGTTTGGGGGCCGTAGGTAACGAGACATGGCGTTAAAGGTCGAGGGACACGGCGAACCACGCTAAGAAGAAGGCGCGCTTCACACACCAGCACAATGGCCACCACCCCCTCACTTCTCTGATCGTCGCGAGACTTCCCGAGGAAGAGGCGGGGCAACGAGCAAGTACCAGGCGGGAAGGTTCGCGCTCTAACAGTACTGGGCGGAACTCCGCCGTGACCGATCATAGTGGGAGGGGTGTGCTGCGCTTTCTGTTTCTGATCGTTCCCTTTGGTCACCTTATATGGAATCTCCCTCTTCCTCCACATAACCTGCATCTGGTATATTGCCGGAACGATACATGTCCTATTACAGTGACATAGACTAAAATATTTGCAGTTACTTTAAAATCTCTGCATAGTAATATGGAGTTCTGCTAATTTCACCCCTTACCTATTCTGTTGACAGGCTTTTACTAGGCAGGAAGTGGAGGGAAATATACACCATTATAACTCTTGTAGGTATTTTGGTCATCTGTGTTCCATTGGGAAGATTTCACTTTACTTCCTGTGTCACAGCTAAAACAGGATGTGAGAGGAAGATTGGGGAAGTGTCCCATTGGAGAAGTGGGAGGAAGAGTGAGAAGTGTCCCATTGAGTAGATTTTACTTCCTGTTCCATAGCTACAACAGGAAGTGAGAAAAAGATTGGGGAAGTGTCCAATTGAGTAGATTTCTCTTCCTGTTCCATAGCTACAACAGGAAGAGTGAGAAGTGTCCCACTGGGGAGATTTATCTTTACTTCCTGTTCCATAGCTAAAACAGGAAGAGTGAAAAGTGTCCCATTGGAGAGATTTCTCTTTACTTTCTGTTCCATAGCTAAAACAGGAAGAGTGAGAAGTGTCCCATTGGGGAGATTTATCTTTACTTCCTGTTCCATAGCGAAAACGGGAAGTGAGGAAGCGTGGGGAAGTGTCCCACTGGAGATGTTTCTCTTTCCTGTTCCATAGCTAAAATGAGGTAAGAGGAAGAGGAGAAATGTCCCACTGGGGAGATTTCATTTTACTTCCTGTTCCACAGCTAAAACAGGATGTGAGAGGAAGATTGGGGAAGTGTCCCATTGGAGAAGTGAGAGGAAGCGTGAGAAGTGTCCCATTGAGTAGATTTCTCTTTACTTCCTGTTCCATAGCTACAACAGGAATTGAGAGGAAGATTGGTGAAGTGTCCCATTGGGGAAATTTCTCTTTACTTCCTGTTCCATAGCTAAAACAGGAAGTGAGAAGTGTCCCATTGGGGAGATTTATCTTTACTTCCTGTTACATAGCTAAAACAGGAAGAGTGGGGAAGTGTGCCACTGGAAACGTTTCTCTTTCCCGTTCCATAGCTAAAACGAGGTAAGAGGAAGAGGAGAAGTGTGTCCCATTGAGTAGATGTCTCTTTACTTCCTGTCCCATAGTTACAACAGGAAGATTGGGGAATTGTCCCATTGGGGAGATTTCTCTTCCTGTTCCATAGCTAAAACAGGAAGAGTGAGAAGTGTCCCACTGCTGATATTTCTCTTTACTTCCTGTTCCATAGCTAAAACAGGAAGTGAGTGAAAAAGCGGGGTAGTGTCCCATTGTGGAGATTTCTCTTTACTTTCCATTCCATAGCTAAAACAGGAAGAGTGAAAAGTGTCCCATTGGAGAGATTTCTCTTTACTTCCTGTTCCATTGATAAAACAGGAAGTGAGGAAGAGTGGGAAAGTGTCCCACTGGAGACGTTTCTCTTTCCCGTTCCATAGCTAAAACGAGGTAAGAGGAAGAAGAGAAGTGTCCCATTGGGGAGATTTCTCTTTACTTCTCGTTCCATAGCTGAAACAAGAAGTGAGAGGAAGAGTGGGGAAGAGTCCTACTGGGGAAAATTCTCTTTACTTTTTGTTCCATATAAAAAAAACAGGAAATGAGAGGAAGAGTGGGGAAGTGTCCCATTGGGGAGATTTCTCTTTACTTCCCCTTCCATAGCTAAAACAGGAAGTGAAAGAAAGACTGGGGAAGTGTCCCATCGGAGAAGTTTCTCTTTACTTTCCGTTCCATATAAAAAAACAGGAAGTGAGAGCAAGAGTGGGGAAGTGTCCCATTGTGGAGATTTCTCTTTACGTCCTGTTCTATAGCTAAAACAGGAGGTGAGAGGAAGAGTGGAAATGTGTCCCATTGGGGCGATCTCTCTTTATTTCTTGTTTCATAGGTAAAGCAGGAAGTGAGGAAGATTGGGGAAGTGCCCCATTGGAGAGGTTTCTCTTTACTTCCCGTTCCATAGCTAAAACGAGGTAAGAGGAAGTGGAGAAGTGTCCCATTGGGGAGATTTCTCTTTACTTCCTGTTCCATAACTATAACCAAACGTGAAAGAGAGTGGGGAAGTTTCTCATTGGGGATATTTCTTTTTACTTCCTGTTCCATAGCTAAAACCAGAAGTGAGAGGAAGAGTGGGGAAGTTTCCCACTGGGGAAATTTTTCTTTCTTTACTTACCCGTTCCATGACTACAACACCTAAAGTGAGAGGAAGAGTGGGGAAGTGTCCCATTGGGGAGATTTCTCTTTACTTCCTGTTCCACAGCTAAAACCAAAAGTGAGAGGAAGAGTGGGGAAGTGTCCCATTGGAGAGTTTTCTCTTTACTTTCCATTCCGAAGCTAAAACAGGAAGTGAGAGGAAGATTGGGGAAGTGTCCCATTGAAGAGATTAATCTTTACTTCCTGCTCCATAACTTAAAACCGGAAGAATGGGGAAGTGTTCCATCTATTCCTGTTCTGGTGAGATTTCTAAATTTGGAGCACAGACCGTAATAAAGGCCTAACAGGTGTTCCAATCCCTCTTCACTCTATCCAAAAGTAAAAAAAAAAGTTTTGATTTTAGTTAAACTTTAAGGCCTGGTTCACACCTATGCATTTTTTCTGCTTCTTTGCGGAAACGCACTGCAGTCCATTTAACATGGTAAGCTATGGGACAAGTTCACATCTATGGTTTTTTGCAGCTGCTGCTTTTTTGGAAAGGGTCAAGGACTTTTTTAAATGCAAATCCATGAGTTTTTGGTTCATTAGACCAGGGGTGTCCAAACTTTTTTCAAAGAGGGCCAGATTGGATGAAGTGAACATGGTGGAGGGCCGAACATTTTTCCGAACATTCTTTGAACCATTACAATTAAATGCAAATAAATTATTTTATGCCAAGTTAATTGCAAACGACATACTTTTCATTTCATAACATTAAGATCAACTGACAGCTGAGTTTTCACAATGTATTGAAAATAAATTAAAAAAAAAACTTACCTGCACTAATGTGAAGGGTGAAACTGAGATCTGGACTGCAGCAAATCGGTTAGATCAGGTACAAAGGCAGTGGTTTTGATGCGCAAAATGTCACGCAGATGAGAGTCACTTAGTCTTGTTAAAGTTCATAGCAGAGAATGTCTTCTCACACAAATATGTTGAGCCAAACAAGCTCAGCATTTTCTTAGCCAATGTCCGAATCTCTTGAAACCTGCCCTTATCCAGTTGTCGGTAAAAGTTCACAAGAGAGAGCTGTTGGTGACGACTGCGTAACTCGCTGTCACAATGCAGCTCAATGAGCTCAAGCTGCAGCTGATCTGGAGCATCATCGGGGTCAACAGAGAATGGAGAGGAGAAAAGGCTGATCTCATTTTCAATAGCTGCAAAATCTTGAAAGTGCTGTTTAAACTCTTCAGCCAGAGATGCGATGTCTGCTGCATACCTGCTCATTTGCGCACTGATATTGTCCTGTGAAAAACTGTTCCTTACTTCCTGCAATGCTGAAAAATGTATGGTATTGGGCTGTGTTTGTGACAAATGCCTTTGGAAAAGTTTCAGCTTTGTTTCAAAGGCCTTGAGATGTGAATAAAGCTGGTTTACCACTGCATCGTTTCCCTGAAGACTTGTGTTTAGTACATTCAGATGCTTTGTTATGTCAACTAAAAACCCCAAATCAGCCAGCCAAATAGGATCAGATAGTTCTCGCATCGGTTGCCCCTTTGTTTCCAGGAATTCTTTGATTTCCTTTCTGAGAGAGTAAAAACGCTGCAGCGCAGACCCTCGACTGAGCCATCTTACATCGTTGTGATATAAAACATCTTCATATTCAGCCTGGATGTCCAGTAGAAACTGTTTAAACGGGCGGTGGCACAGAGCTTTAGCGCAAATAAAATTAATATTCTTTACAACCGGTTTCATAACATGATCATATTTGAGATATTTAGCACAGAGAGCCTGCATTAGACTTTAATGGAGGCACTGCAGAAAAGCATATAGTACATTTTTTGCTGTGTTTTGCATTTTTTAACCACTTGCCCTCAAGAGAATTTACCCCCCTTCCTGACCAGCCCATTTTTTGCTTTATAGCGTTGCGTACTTTAACTGACAATTGCGTGGTCGTGCAACGCAGCGCCCTAATTAAATTTATGTCCTTTTTTTTCCCCCATGAATGGAGCTTTCTTTTGGTGATATTTGATCGCCTGTGCGGTTTTTATTTTTTATGCTAAAAAAAAAGACACAATTTTGAGAAAAAAAAAAACAGTATTTTTGATTTTTTGCTATTAAACATGTCCAGTAAAAACATTTTAGGACAAAATGTATTCTGCTACATGTCTTTGATAAAAAAAATTTCAATACGTGTAAATTAATTGGTTTACGTGAAAGTTATAGCGTTTACAAAATGGCGGTATACATACTGGGCTTTTTTTTTTTTTTTTTAAAACTAGTAATGGCAGCGATCAGTGACATAGCGGGACTGCAGCGGACATTCTGACACTGGGGGGGAACTGACTTTGTGGCACTGACATCCCCAATGACACCAACACAGTGATCAGTGCTAATAAAGTCACTGTGCAGCCCGGCCTCCTTGTTTTTTCTCTCTCTATGAATGGAGAAGAGAGATACATTGTATCTCTAACTCCTGACATAGAGAGGTAAAAAAAAAAGAAGATAAATATTAAAAAATAAAGAAAAATACCTTGATCAAGGTTTGATCTAGTTCAGTGCCAGGGTTAGTGTTTGGGTCAAGG